TGTGAGAAATAAGAAGGAAATAAAAATCTGCTTTCACCAAGAAGCCAGCAATCATCAAGGTTATGGAAGAAAACATATACGGGATAAAGTTATATCTTCAAAATAACACACAAATGAGCAATCTTTGAAGCTAGGTTCTCATTACAGAGGTCTTCGACACCCTGTTTCAGAGATCTTTTCTTTTTTCAGTACTGGGTATCAAACTCAGGACCTTGCATTTGCAAGGCAGGCATGGCACCCCTGAGCCACATCCCAGGACCTCAGAAAATCTATTTCTGAATGATTGGGTCTAGATTATCAGTGTTATATGTTTGTGTACGTTCATGCACATTTCTGGAGCTCTTGTTTGTTGTTTTGTTTTGCTTTCTAAAGCGTGGTGTTTCCAAACACATATAAAAATGAGCTCATATTTAAAAGTTCTTCAAAACAAAAATATGGTGCTGGAAACTCTAAACCCTTAAACCTCCTAGCAAATACCTAGCTCAGTGGTTCTGCCACCTGCCTCACAACAGCAAGGACCCAAGTTCAATACCCAGTACCAAAAAAAGAAAACTCAGTATGGTGATTGTTTTTCCATAGTGTGATCATTCTGTTTTTAGAAAATTGGTTATGAAAGCCCTGATATAACCTAAGAATTCAGGCACCTCCTAAGGCAGTTTCTACTGTAGCGCAAGGTTATATTTTTAGTCCATGAATAGTTTGGCTCTGGAATCTGAATAAATCCTGAGCCTCAAGTGGTCTTAGATTCAGATTCACATTTAAAAGAATCACAGAGCACAACAACCAAACTAAACAGAAATGATTCTCAAACTTTAACTTATGTTTACTAAAGCAAACCCAATTCATGACTCAGTGTATTACTTTTCAAAATTCCCTCTCCCTCTCCTATTTTACAGCACTGCAACCTGTCTTAAGTTTTGCCTTCAACATAACTCTAAAATGTCCCAGACACCCAGCTGAGACCATTTTTATGATTGTCTCTTCTCTTAGCTTTTATTATGTTGACAAATTTGGACTCCTCAACTTCTTTTTACATTTTTTTTTTTTTACTTTGCACATTATGATTGAGAACCCAGAACTGGAAAAACAAAGGAACACCTTCCTTTCTCCTCTCCCTCTGTCACTGTATATCTCTAACTATCAAAATCCAAACCCAGGAATCAGGAGGACAGGTCAGGAGAGGGGGAGAAGACTAGCAGGGCAAGAAAAATTCTCATTAGTAAGAAAGAGACCAAGAATAGGAACATCTGGGATATGGATGTTAATGTAAATCCCCTTAATACACTTACTTAAATCAACAGAGTAATAGTCAATTAACTAATGAATGGTATTTTTCAAATGCTGAAAAGATTATCATAGCTAATATTTTTTCAAGATGTATGTGGTCCCAACTACTGCTCCAAACACTTAACCTCCATCATCTCAGTCAATCATCCCAAAAACTGCAGGTACTATTACTCTTTCTAATTTAAAGAGAAGAAAACTAAGGTACAGAGAGGTTAAAAAGTCTTCCTGAGCTCAAATAGCTGATAAATAATAGCCTCTAGATTCAAAGCCAGAGCATTTGATTCCAGAGGCTTGACTTTTTTTTTTTGAGACAGGGTCACACTATGTAGTTCCTGCTGGTCTTGAACTCACTAGGGAGCCCAGGCTGGCCTCAAACTCGTGGCAGTCCTCCTGCCTCAGCCTCCCAAGTGCTGGGATCACAGACACACTCCACCATGCCCTTCCTGGAGGCTTGACTTCTAACCACAGGATAAACACAGTTCTCCCAAAATATCTGCTATCTTCTTCATCCACTTTTTGTTTTCAGACATACTTTGTTCCTTGGCAGTGTATATGAAAAACTTTTTGATGATTTCCATTCCGTGGCAGTTGCTTCCTTTGTAGAACTGCTCCTGGCTTTTTTACTTGTTGCTCCCCTTCTTAGCTCAACACCTACAGACATATGCATTAAACATATCTGATTATAAAAGTTTAAAACAGTGTGTCCACCCATAGTTTTAGATCTTTCCCTTCTGGACTGCTTTGCTCCCATCATCAAAGGCTCTGGGAAATAAAATTTTATGATATTGATACATAGGGTGGGGGGCAATAGGGTCATAAAAGCTCCTACTTCACTTTGATTCATCTGGACAGAAATCTAATTACCATTACAATATGAACCTCGCCTTGTGAGCCCACCCCATGATTTGGCTTGAATTTATCTAGACAGATTGAAGTAAACAAGCTTACTCTGCTTGCGGGCATATTCTGCTGCTTTGGGTGCTGTTAACATGGCCAAAGGGTGCATAGAGAGCCTCATCAGTGGAGCTCGGGGAATCTGAAAGAGATAGTCTGATTTTTAAAAGCCACCCCACTTTGTGGGATTAACACCAGCTGGTTAAGGCACTTGTTTAATCAATCTAGTGGCCTTGGACATTAGTGATAGTTCACCATCAAAGCACGTGAAATGAGGGTGCACAAGAACATCAAGCACTGCCCTTGACTTCTTTACTTGTTTCCTTTTACTTATAATGACCTTTCATGCTCTAAAGCTCTTCATGGTTCTCACTTTCTGAAAGAGCAACTGCCTCTTTTTCTGCCTAGAGGCTTCTACTTTTCCTTTGAGATGGAGCACTAGTACCCCCATCTTACATTTCCCTTGTTGCAGAGACAAAATACTCAACATCCAAAGTTAAAGAAGGAAAGGCTTTTTTTTTTTTTTTTGGTACCGGGGATCAAACTTGGGACCTTGTGCTTGCAAGGCAGGTGGTGGCACCACTGAGCTAAATCCCTGGTCCAGGAAAGGTTTATTTGGTTCAGAGTCTATAGAGATGTCAATCCATAGAAGACTGGCTCTAAGGCAAAGGGACATTACAAAGAAGAAATAGTTCATGGCAGGCAGAAGGCAGCAAAGCAGCAAGCAGCAAGGGACAATAACTCTCTTTCTGCCCCTTATATTTTAACCACTCTCACCCAGGGAGGGCCTTCCCATTATCTATTCCCAGAATAGTAACCACCCACCCGTGATTCCAATATCGCATACTCCAGATCCAACCACCTCTGAAAACTCCAACCTACGACTACATGAGGCTTTGAGGGGCATCTACATACAAGTCATAACAATCCCTTCCTATGACAAACTTGCCCTGACTTTCACCCCTAAGTCTCTACCACACACTGCCACCCCCAATGCTGAATGACTGACTCACTCACCTGTGAATGCAAACATGCTATTTGATTTTAATTTCTCTGATGACAACTGAAGGTGAGAATTTGTTCATATTTACTAGTCACTTATATTTCATTTTTGTGAAATTTTGTGCAGAGATTTTGTTCACATTTTTCATTTTAAATTGAGACATTTGCTTTTTCTTATTGGTTTTTAGGAGTTCTTTATGTATTGTGGATAGAAGTCCTTTGATAGATATTTGTATTTTGAATATCTCCAACTTCTTTGTGGGTTGCCTATTCATTATTTTAATGGTCTTTTGCTTACAGAAGATATCAATTTTAATATAGCTAAATTTATCAACTTTTATTTGCTTTTGTGGTTTAGGCTTTCTGAATCCTGTTTAAGAAATGTTTGCCAACACCAAAATCATAAACATATTCTTTTTTTTTTTTTTTTTTTGAGACAGGGTCTCACTATGTAGTTGAGACTGACCTGGAACTCACTATGTAGCCCAGGCTGGTCTTGAACTCACAGTGATCCTCCTGCCTCAGCCTCCCAAGTGCTGGGATTACAGGAGTGCACCACCATGCCCAACATAAACATATTCTTTTGTGTTTTCCTCTGGCTACTATACTGATTTACCATTCAGATATATATATTTATATTTATATAAATATATATATATTTATAATTCATCTGGGATTAATTTTCATATATAGTATGAAGTAGCTGTCAAGACATTTTTTGTCCTTAAAGAAGGTATCCACATGACACCAGCTCTATTTATTGAAAAGGTCATCCTATTCCTACTCCACCAGTGTGACTTTGTCATAAATCAGGTGAACCACATGGTGCATATTTGTTCTCAGACTATTCAACTGCATGGTCATTGGTGGGTCCATCTTGTGCTGTGCCATGGCTTTGTAGTAAGCTTCCACATCAGATAGCACATGCCTCCCTGTTATTGGATGGTGATTCTGGGGGAGTCTTTCCAGGTTCTCAGCGTCCTGAACAAGGAGTTGGATAAGACAAATGGAAAAGGTAGCAAAGGTGCATGCTTTTTGAAGGTGGAAAAGAGATACTCTCTCCAGGGCGAGTGTGGGAGTGTGAACAGATCCACAGCTGCCTTGAGGATAATGGAAAGGGGACTTTTATATCCAAAATTCCTGGACTTGCTTCTCCCACACACAAATAAAGGATTGAGATAATCATCCTATCAAAAATGCACTTGGCTTGGTGCCAAGTCTGCCCTATGGACAGACTTTTAGATTCCTACCATATGTAAATGAGAAACTGAAAACAGCACTTTTCTGATTGGTCCTGAAAGTAGCGTAAGATTCAAATGAGGTAAAGAAAATATTGCTTTCTGATTGGTTCCCTTTACAGTGCTCAGAAGCCATGGAATCACTTTGGCCTTGTGTCCTGTGCATGTCCTCTGGGATTCTACAACCTTTGACACTTTCCACTTAATTGTTTGTCCAGTTTGCCTCAGCCCTCATCTCCTACCTCATCTGGGCTTTGCTTTTCTACCCTACACTGCTTTGGCTTTTCTTTGGGCTCTGCATTTCTTAATGAATTTTATCATCATATTGTCAGTGTCCAAAACAAGAAAGAGAAGGAAGGAAAAAGAGAAAACCTTCTGAAATGTTGACTGGGGGTTGATGTGAGTCTCTGGATTACTTTGAGGAAAACTGAGATGTTAGCCATAATGAGTGTCCTATTCCATGAATATGCTGTGTCTTTTAATTCACTTAGGCCTTCTTTAATATTCACAGTGAAGAAACTTTTTTGAAAGTATTTGTAAGTATGTTTTTGACATGTTTCTACACTTCATTTTCTCTTTGTCCCTGATATATAGAAATAAATTAATTTTCACATTTCCTTGTATCCAGCAACTTTTCTAAATTCATTATTAATATAATAATTTATAGGTTCTTTTGGATTTTAAAATACTCATTATGTCATGTACAAGGAAAAGTAGTTTTATTTTTATATTATTGTATTTGTTTTTTAATTTTTTCCATGCTGATTAAGATCTTTGGTGCAGTCTTAAATAAGAATTATGATAGCAAGTATCTTTTTTTCTCCCCTGTTGTCTGTCTCCATTTTGAGACATGGTGGTTTCTAAATAGTCAAATTCCTGTTTGTATGTGAAATATGTGACAATGGCTAAGGAATCACATTAAAAAATTGAATATCTCTTTCAATATTCAGGTGCGTAATTAGAAAAATACAATTTTGTTCAAGCAGATTAATTTAGTTTCATTAGAAAATGTGGGAGGGGTTGCTAGTTTCCTAGCAAGAGCCATTCTTTTCCTTTTGATGTGTTGTTAGGTATGCTGTTGGGAAGCTAAGGTCTCTATCTTTAATCCACCCTTCTAGCATGGTGTGACCATATTCACTAGTTTGTAACCAGTGATATGTAGGGCAGAGTGTTCTGAGAGATTCCTAATGTATTTCCTAAAATGGGCTGCTCTTCATTTTTTAATGCCTACAGATGTGGTTGTGAAAGCTGGCGTTTCTGTAACCACACCTGGGGAATGACTGGGGAGGTCTAGAAGAGCCAGACTGTGCTCCTGACAGTCTTGTGGGACTGTAGGTAGTACCACCTCATTTGCCTACCTTCAGAGTTCCTTCATAGGAGAACTAAATTTCTGCACAGTATTTCACTAACACTGCATGTTTTCTGTTATATCACATAGGGGACATGAATTAAACGATAAGTGGAGGTGTGTTCTTTTTGCTGACAAAACAGTTTATAGGCATTTTACCAGTAGTGCTATTAAATTTCACTCCCACTTTTTATTGAAAAATATTATTATTATTATTTATTGAGTTGCCTTCATGTTTAGTTTTGTAAAGAATGAACTATAAGCTTAAACTATGATCTCCACTCTGAGAGCCACATCATCTATTCAGAAAGATGGTCCTCCAGCACAGACAGTAATTAAAAAGGAGACTTTGACTCAGCACAGATCAATTATGGCTGCAATAATAGCCTTTCAGGATGAATAAAAGGAAATTGGTCCAAATGTCATTCTTGATAAAGGTCTTTTGGGTTTTTTTGAGGGGGGAAGTTTGCCCCACTTTTCCTGTCTACTGGTGAAAGTGGAACCTGAGGATTTTAAAAGTCTCTTCCAAGTTGCCTATTCTGTGAAACTTCCTCAGTCCTCATAACCTGATGATTCATGCAAACTGTTAATTCATCTTTCTATATGCTTCATAGAAAAGAATATTTTACAACTAGGATGAAATTTAAGTCCTAATCTAAAGTTAATCACATTCCCTTTCCAATTCTAAAGTTATTGACTAATATCTTCATCGTCTCAGTGTGAAGGAATCATTGTGATTATTTTTCATTTCATGTACTTACTAACGCCAGAACATATTCAACAAAAATTTCTTCTAGTTGGAAGAAGGAGAATCTGTTATGTACAGGAATTTAGGAAATTGCTTGAAGAAAGCCTGGGTAATTAGAAATTTGAGCTATTTGTTTTCTATGTCTCCATTGCACAACAATATTATTTATAAAGGCAAATTATTTCCCAAAATGATAGCTCCCATTCCATTAGCAATGTAAATTATCTACCTTGATATTTCAGACTTTTAAAGTCACCATCAAGAGATAAAGGACATGGACAGTAATCACTGCCTCCATCAACCCGGAGCTGTAACTTACATGCATCATCATGATATCACCAAGATGGAAGGTGAAATTTCAGATTCTAAGTGTCAAAACAATTGAGTTTGTGTTTACAGAAATCAGATTTGTCAAAGTAAAAGCAGGACACATGGTGTGGAAAAATAGCTTTACTGTCTATGACTAGTTTTGCAAATGTGGCTGGGATGTTCCAACTCTATTTTCTAAACATTTTAATATGTGTGAAAAAAACAAATTTCAAATGGGGAAAGTATTGGAAAATCCAGGACTTGACTGATTCTATCTTACAGTAGTTTTTCCAAAAGTTAAGACTCTGTACAAGAGAAAGAGAGAGAAACAAACAACTCAACAGAAAGATGGACAAAAGACTTTTTCAGGTACTTTACAGAAGGAAAAAAAACCCCAGAAATATATATCCATTGGTATTCAAGAGAATAGGAGTCAAAATTATGGTGAAATTCCATAATACATTTAACAGATTGACAAAACTTTAAAAGTCTGAAATATCAACATTGATAATTTAAACTGCTAATGGAATGGGAGCTAACATTTTGGAAAATAATCTGGCTTTACATAGAGTATTGTTCAGTGGAGACAGAAAATAAATAACCCAAATTTCTAAAACAGAAGAATATATAAATAAAAACATCATGGTATATTCCTAAAGTAGAATAAACTATGGTTATAAATAGCAACATAAATAAATTTCTGCCACATGTTGAGTGAAAAAAGAAAAGCGACAGAATGACACATTTTCTACTATTCTATTTGCATAAAACTGTGCAAAATTAAATAATATATTGCTTAGAGATGCATATGTAGTGAAACTAAAGGAGTAAGAGTGCTAATTTTCTTGATATGCTTGGTGGATGTGCTTACTTGGTCTTTGCACTCAGAACACACAAGGTATTAATTTGGACATAGTTGATATTTATGGTCTACTGAATGAACTTCATCCTGGGTGGACATAATTAATATTGTAAGTGCTTATTATTATCCCTCATTATTAAGATCTGTCAATAAAGAACTTTAATTTTGAACATAGGTCATTCTCCTTATCGTGAAACCATTTTTTCATTTCTGCACAATTTTGGTATGAGATAACATTTTCCAAGAAAAGAAGATACAAGGTATATGTGGTGGCATATTCCTATAATCTCAGCACTCTGGGAGGCTGAGGCAGGAAGATCACAATCTCACGTCCTACCTGGGCAATTTAACAATTCAGCAAGACCCTTTCTCAGAATTAATTAAAAGACGAAAAGGCTGGGAATGTAGCTCAGTGTTGAAGGCTCTGGGTTCCTGGGTTCAGACGTCAGTGCTTCAAAGGAAGAAAAAAGACACTTGGCAGACTACTGAAGTATGAGAAGGTGAAAGACAAGCCTCCTGCAGTCAAAAGAGGCTGTTACTGGGATGGGGGAGGTGGACTTGGAGGTAATGGCGCTACTGTGCAAGGCCATGTCCCCCGTGCCACCACTGAGACACTCTGCTGTGCTGGGCAGGTGTGACTGTGCCTACTTACATGCAGAGAAGTGGGATTCCAACAAGCTAAAAAACATCTCAGAGATCACACAGGTAGCAAGTGACAGCTCTGAAGTTATGTCAGTTGGGATGGACACAAAGACTGGCTGTCAGACCTTAGGCTGGCTTTGGCAAGATGGAAGGAAAACAGAGGACCCATGTACCCTATTCCTTGACCTTCTCTGTTTTTTCTGAAAAGCTCATTTTTACTCCCTCTGCGTCTCTTTCTTTTTACTCCTCTTTCTCCATCAAATAGAGATAAAGAATATTTGTATACTTGCTTCATTGGTTGAAGGAAAATTTATGATTTTTCTTCGATTTACATTGAGTAGGGCATTTTATAGTTACCTGAACTGAATGGCAAATGGATTGTACTTTTTTCCTTTGTTTTGTTTTTTTTTGAGACAAGGTTTCACTATGTAGTTCAGGCTGACCTTGAGCTCATTATGTGTCTCAGGCTGGCCTTGGACTCATGGCAATCCACCTGCCTCAGCCTCCTGAGTGCTGGGCTTACAGGCGTGAGTCACCACACCCAGCTTGACCCATATTTATATAAGCTCTTTAGTTAAACTTTTTCCGAGTCCAGAGTCCTCCGTAGAAAAAAAAACTCCTGCTCAGCAAAAACCAGCTCCCTGTCAGGAGGTAGAACCTGAGGTCATGACAACAGTGTCTGTTATGCCTGCTGACACCAGGTGGCAGCAAACAGCCCTGGGAAGGCATCCAGCATGAGCACAGAACCCATATTGAATAATGTGGTCAGTTCTCATTTCCTGAAATTGTACATAATCTGATTAGTATTCAACAGGACTTTAAACTTGTGTTTGGGAAAGATCTTAGCTGTTGCTTGGGAGATCTTTTATCCAAAGGAATCAGAGGTCATTCAGTTCTTGGCAGCAAAGAAAAAACCTTTGGCAATATGTCTTTTATTTTTTCCTTTTTTTTAAACAACTGTCTCCTTTTAAATCAAAATAGTTTCTTAAAAAAGTTAAGTCCCAGAGAACTATTTTCAAATAGTCTTAGAGTTTAATTTTTGAAATGGTACATTTCCACTGAGAGATCCTGCCAATTCCTTATTCAAGGCGAGGAAGACATCCCTGGGTGTAGTTAATGTGTAGCCACAAGGGAAAGACCTGAGCTAGCACTCTTGAGGTGAGGGAATGGGTGTGGAGCTCACAGGGAAAGAAATTCACGTTCCTGTATTGGTTCCTCAAATCATGCCCTTTGTGATAATCAACTGCCTAAAAATAGGCAAAGTTTATGTTGTATCAATGATAGATATACTGGCAGGTGCTTAATTTGGGGGATAATTAGAGCAGTAGTTCTCAAGCAGATGTGATTTTTGTCTCTTAGGGGACATTAGCATTCTGGACACATTTTTCATTGTTACAAGTGGAGAAAATCTACTTACATCCAATAGGTAGAGGCCACGGAAGATGCTAAACATCTCACATGACAGATCCCAACCCCCTCTGATACACAGCAAAGAATCATCTGGCTCAAAATGTTAAGAAATCCTGCTATGGAGGATCTCAGATACCTAAATCCTGAGTGCTGAATCGTTAATTATAGCTTTTATTTTGAGGTTATTGTAATGCTAAACATTAAGGTTTCATTGATACTCAGTTAATGCCTACAACAACTGTACCTTCTATCCTCTGCTTTTGCAAGTGCTACTGAGGCTTTATAAGATTAGAAAATATGCTCAAAATTATTCTGCTTGTAATGTGGAGTTAGCTGAAAATTCAAACCTTAGCAGCTTATAATCCTTTCAGATATAAATACTGCCTTGCACATATAAATCAATAAATCATCCCACCCTATAGCAATAAAAAATTCAGATCTTTAAAGGAAAGCTTCTTTCTAGGAGGATATGATCCATTCTTGTTCAGAGCTAGTCATTTTGTGGCCTTTTCATTATTGCTCACTGCTGGTGAGGATGGGGACTGTGTGTCACGAAGGAAAGGCTCCTGAATAAATGAATGAGGGATGGGATGGACAGGGAAAGACTGGTGGGCCCACCTATAAGTCGCATATCCTTCTGTTCCAGCCCCATTATGGGAACTGGAGGCATCTGAGCTCCTTGGACATTCATCTGTGCAAGCCATGATTGATGTCCCAGCTAAGACAAGGAATTCAGTTGCCATACCCCAAAGGAAAAGCCTTTCCATATTTATCCTCTGGCCATGGGAGTTGAGACTTTTCACTGAACGATGCGTGCCTTAACCTTCCCCCAGACCCAGGAGATCAGAGGGAGAACATGGGACCCGCTGCTTGCAGAAGGGTGTTTGGGTAAAAGAACAAGGAAACAGGCATCCCTGTAGCTTCGTTATTACTATGAAGTCCTCCATGTAAGAGCAATTTACAGTCAGGTGTGGTGGAGCTCATCTATAAACCCAGCTACTCTGGAGACTAAATAGGAGGATTGAAGTTTGAGGCCAGCCTGGATAACTTACTGAGATCCTGTCTCCAGATTAAAAAAATAAAGAGGGATGAGGATATAGTTCAGTGGTAGAGCAACTTTCCTAGCATGGGTGAGACCCTGGGTACAATACCTACTAACACAAAAAACAAAAGCATAAAGTTTTTAAAAGGCATTTTATAAACTTATATTACTTAAGGAGGATGTGGCTAGGTCTGCTTTTGTCTCATAACTAATACATGGAAACATATTAGAAATATATAACTAAATAATTTATCTCTCAAATCCCCTTGTATTGATAGTCCCATGTCACCCTTACCTTGGTAGTACCAGAATTGGCAGAAGAATTGGCCCCATAAATTTTAAAGACTTCTTCAATTGGGATACTGTTCTGTTAAACAACAACAATAATGCATTGCTGTATCATGGCTTTTCTTTTATTATGAAGTAAAAGCTATTATACCTCCAATATATGTAGTACTGCATGTAGTATCATAGGCACTAAAAAATAACTTCTGAATAACTAGATAAGGGCTTGCTATGTAGTCCAGGCCAGCCTGGAACTCACTATGTAGCCGAGGCTGGCCTTGAGTTTACAGCGATCCTCCTGCCGCAGTCTCCCAAAAGCTGAGATTACAGCTTTTGAATAACTAGATAAACCAGTTTTCCAGATACCAAGTAGCCATGTCTCTCATTTTGTCTCTTAATGCATTTTTGAGACAGGACAGAACTCAGAATCTTTTTATTATGCTTTTAGAAATGAAGTTTTTAAAAAATGAAGTGTTTACTATTAGTACATCCTATACATGTAGAAACTTTGCTTGAAAAATAACACAATTATGCATTCATAATAAAATGCACACAATAGGCATAAAATAGCTGTATATATTTACTTATATACTTATATAGTGTTGTTTTTCCTTACCATTAAGATTCCAGCATAAGATGATAAAATCATTGCTTCCCGTTCTCGATAGTTTGGATATATGGGTCTGCTGTGAAGTGGTAGTTTCCTAAGGAGAGTATGAACATATAAGAGCAGGGAATGTATTTCTCTTTTTTAAAAAAATTATTCACTGTACAGATGAATGGGCTTCACTGTGACGTTTCCATAGCGGGGTACACTGTGCATTGGTCCCATGTGTCCCCGCTTCTACCTCGCTCATTGTCCTCTCTGCCTCTTCCTCACCCTCCTCCCAGACCTTAATAGCCCCTTTTCTACTTCCAGTTTTTGTTCTTTTCGACACCTGCTAAGGTTACATTAATAGCCCTAAGTAATCTGCAATGACTGTGCTAGCCACGTATTCACAAAGTTGATGTGACTGATCCTCCATCAGCGGAATACACACTTTGAAGTTTTACTCTTCCAATAGTGGGATGATTTTGCTCTTAATCCATGGCTTCATAGTTACCAAACGGAGCCCCCACTGTGGAGCATGTTCATGGCTTTGTTAGCCAGTGCCCTTCGCCTGTCTTGTGGTGCTTGCTTGGGGGGACTGCCTTTCTTCACTGTAAGCCTGTGTGTGTCGAGGGAAGCTGATATCACCCTAAACTGCAAGGATGGAAAACCCCTTGCAGACTGAACTAGTCAGTATCTCCATTCCCCACCCACCCAGAGGGCATGGCAGCTAGAGGGAAATCCTGGTGATATCAATAAAGTTGGAATGAAATTTTGCCTAACACAGACCTGTCTACAGAGGCACGTTTTCCTCCCTCCTTCCCTCCCTCCCTCACTTCTTTCCTTCCTTCTTTTCCTACTCCTCCTCTTCTTCAGCTTTGCTTAACTATGGTTGTTCAAACTGGATTTTCTACTTTATTATATAAACCCTAGCTGCTACAGTCATTTATGATGTAGTCCAAGATATATAGTCCAGATATATAGTCTAAGACCACGGAACAGAAAAAATAAATAACTGGCCTCTGGAGTATGTATGCTATTGGATCCTGGCTGGCCTCATTTGTTCTATGTTCTTACCAACTGAGTGAATCTGTCTGGACACTTCACATGGAACAAAACGCCAATAGTTCTGGGAAGGAAATTATCCTATGACTCAAACTTGGGAGCCTATCTGTTCAAATGTCTGATAGTCCTTAGGGAAAGACCGCAATCTTTGCTCACAGACTCAGCCGTTTTCAAGGTCAGAGCATATGCACAAGTCATATTTCACAGGTGGAACATTTGTGCAAGACAGATTTTCACCTGACAGAATAAATTAGAAAAGCTGCAGAATACATAAACACGTCTATGACTTCTTAACTTGGCAACTGCAGGGTTTCTTTCAATTTCTAGTTGGAAGGGGATGTTAGCTCTGTAGTGCCTGCAAGTCAGAATACCTCATGGATGAAACATGCCAGATTGGAGGATGCGACTTCCTCCATGATGAACCAGAGCAACACACTGAAAAGGAAAATAATAAACAGGTTTCAACTTACAGGTCCTCCCACTCCAGCCAGGCTAAATCTTCTGAGCCATCCAGCCACCGTAGAGCAACACTGATGGCCAGGTCATAGTGTGCCTGTAAGCAGAAGCCACAGCGGGGGAAGGAGTGGGTTTATGCAGTGGCCCCAGGGCTCCCTGGACCCAGTCACGATGCATGGCTAAGACTGTTATATCCTGTCACATCCAAATGGGAAGGATCCTGAGCTATGTCTAATAAGCTGATGCTCAGCCACAAATAACTTTGGCATTTTCAGGCATTCAATTCATCTTCCACTACAGCAGTTATGTGATTTATATTGGCCAGAAAGGAGAAAAAATAGTAAACTGGGAACCAGGGAATGGAGGCTCAGCTCTAGGTACTGCCAACAACTTGTGGTACATCCTTGGGTGAATGACTGGTGTTCTCTGTTTTTTTTTTTTTACATTTGGAAATAGAAAAAGGTGACAGTGGGAAAAGAGGGCCACAGAAAACAGTGTCTGATTCTGCATCATGTCAGGAATGTAACTCAAGGGTAGAAGGGAAGTGTTTAGGGATCCTAGAGAAACCATTGTGTCCACCTGGGAAGGCAAGGAGAATCTTGGAAGGTTCCAGAGGAGGCTTCCCAGAAGTAGGTCATGGGGACTGAGGAGTTTCTGCAGGTGGAGAAGGGTATACCAGGCGGAGGGATGAGTGTGAGCAAACGCCCGATTAAGTGATCTGAAAAGAGTTCCACATACAGTTCAAAGCCGAGGGCCAATTGAATGTTCATTCTATCCTTGTGATGGCCTGGTAATTTCTAAGTGCTTTTGTTTCATAAGAATATTTGCCATTTATCTATCAAAATACATTCCTTTTCTCTCCTCACACCCATACCTCATGCAAGGCTGATTTTAGTCTTAGTTTAGATGGAGTCTAAGGTTCTAACATTCTCCAAAGAATATATTTCTTTCTCTCTGGGATTGAACCCAACCGAAATGTGAACTTACATAAATATACAAATATATAGGGAAAAATGTACCATGCTCAATTGTTGAAACCTATTCCAGAGTTTGAGACCTGGACTGATGGAGCTGGCAGGCAGCACCTTGTGTGCTCATTAGAAATGCAGGTTCCCTGCCTCATGCTCACCTCCTGAATCAGAACAGCACTGTAATGAGACCTCATTAAAGTTTGAGGAGACTGGCTCTAAGCTAGTTCATTTCTCTGTTTAATGTGCATACAAAGACAATAAAGCTTAATGGCAAAAGTAATTCCAGGGGGGTTTGGAAACTCAGCACACTTTGCTATAGTCAGGGGCAGGGGAGGAGAGTACCCTTCTCCCATTAGGAGCACAAGGATAGTAAATGGGAAGTAGGGAAACTGGAGATTTGCTAATTTAATTTGGATTAGATGTTTCTGTGGTTTCTGTGAAGAACTATCAGAACTTAGTATAAATCTAGGCTTTAACGTGAGTAACAAAGGATTTTAGAATAATCTGTTGTTTTGGTTTTCCCTCACTATTCAAAGGGTAAGGAAATGATTATATTTGAAAATGGCATGGCAGCTAATTTTGAAGTTTTTAGCATCATGAACATAACATTTTACCCTGTACACATTTGCTTTTTAATCTTTTTTCCCCAGTGAGACTTATTTTCTCATTTTCAACTTACTTTCTGTTTATGGGTTGAAATGACCACATGGACGATCTTAGGATGAAAAAAATGAGAAAAAGGGCATGTTTGAGGTGTGTATGTCAACATTACCCTGGTTTACTATTTCAATTCTGTCCTTGTCCTGTCCTCTTAATATACATAGAACACAAATGTGAGTTGTATCAGCATGTCTTTCATTACCATATCATCTAGAAAGGTGAGTCGCCTTCTTCCTTTCGGGTCAAATTCATTTTCCCGAAGTCTGATGCCAATATAATCTCTCCTTAAAAGCAAGACAGCAGCATTAAACCACTGTGGGTAATGTGGGGCTAGGTCTTCAGGAAAGGCTCTTTTCCCAATCCTTCCTCCCTCCAAGACCAAAATACAACAGAAGTCAATAAAGACCTACCTGGTAGCTGAGTTATTATTCAGTTTTGGTTTACATAGTAATCTGCAATGCTTCTGGTTTAAAATATCTAAGCACAATTAACATAATTCATATTTGTCTAACAATCAAACTCATTGTTGGGATAGAATTTACAGGAAAGCAGATAGGCTACCAAATATCCATAGAGAGAAAAGTTGTTTTTTGTATGGTTTTGTTTTAAGATAAGGATTGTGATTCACTTTGTTTTAAAACAAAGATTCGTTTGTTGCCCATGCAAAATCCAGGCAGAATGTCCAAAACTGGTATATTCCAGATGTGTGAAATGCTATAGAGATGGGTTATTTAACCTTAAGTCTTTTTCTCATTAGAATGGGTACTCTTGGGATAAATTTTACATAATAACTTAAAATAATAATTCCATGTTAGTGTTTTCTTATTAGAGCTTTTTTTTTCGCAGTGAATTTTGATAAGAGATGGTAGACTCTGTGCCATGTGAAGCGAATAGAGGGGTGCCACCCTGGGAAAGTTCAAGAGAGGGATGAGTAGACTGAATAAGGGAAAGGACCCTGGAAGGTCTGGGGCTGATCTCTACAAATATCATATTTTATGAAAGCCCACGAGGCATTTTGGGCTCATTACCTTGTGGAGGATAAGTTTGCTCCTGCCTTCCAAAGCTTTCTTTTGAGTCATTAATATTTTCCAGATTCATAAAAATTATTGAATTCTTGCTGTATATGTCAAGATAATTTCAAGCAGCTTAAAACTATTTTGTGGATATAAAATTGTATGTACATCAGTTTTGAAATTTCAATTCTTTGCATAAGAGGTGCAGAGAAGTTGGCATTCTTGATTATGGTTTGTTCTTTATTATTATAGGAGCCTCCAAACATGTTGACATATGAATTAATACATGATTTATCCCAGCATTTCTTAAAGACTTAGTACAAGATAAGCATCTTAGTAGGCAGACAAGGAACACTTGATGGGTCTATGATAAAGCCTTTGATGAAAGGGATATCATTATTCTGTCTATTATATATGTATATGAAATAGGATATAACCTTTTTCTCTCTTTTTATGTGCCCTGTAGTTTTTCACCAGCATTTACTAAGTACAAAGTCAAAGAAAAGCTACATAAGAGGAAAAATTTTCACAAGAAGCAATGTTTTAAAAAATTCAGATGTCAAAAGAAAAATGACTGATTGATTGATATGCTAAGAATAAGAGGCAGTGGCTGTGATTTAAATGCTGGCCTTTTGGGCACGTTTCCAAGGACTCTGTCTTATACCTGTTAGCCAGCCCCTCGCAACAGCTCATTCTACCTACACTGGTGAACTGGCTGGCTCTTTTCTCAGATTCTAGGATGGAGATGCCTCAGAGGTCCATGCGGTTGGTAGAAACATCCTCTCAAGACTCTGCACACTGCTGTGCACAGCGTGTGAGGCCTCCCCGGCAGAAGAAAGAGGCTAGGGTATCCTCTGGCTTTCTCTTTCAGAGCAGGAGTACAGTCTTCCTTAGCTTTTCACTCATCTGCTAATATCCGGGCCATCTATGACAACCCACCAAATGCCAAGCGTCATAAATGAAAGTTATTTTCCATCATACTTACAGCAGCTTTTTTATTTCCTTCTTTACAAGCCTTCTTTCCATGGTTAAAGGTTTATCCAGCTGAGCAAGTATCTGCAATTTACACTGCACCTGATAGCCTTTAAGAAGACCCAGCCTCTCCAAGCCTAGAAACTACAGCAGCAAATCAGAGAGAATTTGAATTAGCCATGCTGTTACTCCAAATGCCAGTCATGGAGCTTTAGATTGCAGAAGGGATGTGACAGCACACAGAGTTTAGGCCTCTTCTCCAGCAGGTTCTAGTTGGAAAGCTGTGCCCTGAATTTTGTGTATGTCTGACATATTTTATGCCTTCCAAGTTTTCCTAAGATTTATCATGAATTTTGCAGTAATCTTCTAAGTAAAACAGAAATGGCTTGCATAATAGTTGGTAATACTTTGTGCAGAATCATCCAAATGTGGATGACTTGTAACCCGAATATGGTTTTCTCTGTACATTTAACACAGTGACTTCTAGTGTGTCCACCCTGGCGTGATGTCTCATGTGGCCAGGAGGTCCTCAAAAGACCACATGATCATGACCACCATATCTTCAATTCCCAAACCAACTCTGAATCTGAAGTTGGAGATCAGGTGACAGGGCGAAAAAGGGTCTGAAGTCATAAAAAGTGGTTTGCAAAATATCATAACTGTTGAATAGCATACCCAAGGATTGTTATGAGTGGGAATCAACTCTGTCTGCAGTATTTTATTTTAAAAAGTATGTGAAACACATTGTGATGCTTTGCTTTACGAGTCAATTTATTTATTTACTTATTCATTTTTTTTTTGGTATCGGGGATTGAACTCGGGTCCTTGCGCTTGCAAGGCAGGCCACCGAACTGCTGAGCTAAATCCCCAGCCCCTTATGAGTCAATTTAGCTGGGACACTATGCCCAGACACTTGGTCAAACGTTATTCTGTATGTCTGTGAAAGTGCTTTTTGGATGAGGATAATACTTAAATCCAGAGATTTTGAGTAAAGCAGATTATCCTCCATAATTTGAATGGGTCTTGCTTAATCAGCTGAAGGCCTTGAACAAAGACTCAGAAGACCTCTTTAAAATCTACCCTTTGCTCAGGAGTTCACTTGGGGTGGGGTGGTGGTTGGGGGAGACCAAAGATGACTTCCTCTGAGCACAAAAATCAAGAGAATTCTTCCAGCAGACATTTGAATTCAAACTGCAATGCTACAACTCCTCCCTGGGTATCCAGCCTGCTGTCCTCCCCCATTGGACTGGCCAAGCCTCCACAATCAAGAGAATTAGGCCCTTAAAATGAATCTCTCTCTCTGTAAGCTGAGCAGCTACTGGCACTTTACATTACACCTGTATACACACACACACACACACACACACACTCAAACTCACACATTATTCTGGAAAATACTAATACACAAATATAACAAAAAAATGTTAACAGTTTTGGTTCTGGGATGATAAGTCCCTAGATGTTCACCATATTGTCCTTTGTACTTTTGAAATCATGAGTTCTAAAATCACTACTCAAAACATCATTAGAAAGAAACTTTTCTTTGGAAAACTTTTCTTGCTAGCACATAAACCATAAGGTTTTTTGGAGTCAGCTTTCCAACATTAAGCAAAGAGGAAGCAGGGTGCGCTGAGTTAAATAAATTCTTCACTGGGTAACTTAGTTATTTTGAGTCAGTCTAGCTGCTGCTGCTGCTACGTCTGCTTCAGCCTTTCAGGAATGGTGGGATGTGGAGAAGGCAAAATGGCAGAAGACAGTGTGTGCATCCCTGGGCAGAGGAGAAGCTTAGAAGACAGAACTGTTTCTTCCTACAAGACAGTCAAGTGGGAGAAGGTGCTGCAAGCCAGAGAGGTGGCCTCATGGCCTAGAGAAGGGAGAGCCTGGGCCAGGGAAGTCAGGTGCCAGGATGTGGGTCCACTATACCACCGCTTTCCATGGCCATGGCTAGGCTTCTTGGCTCTTAAGCAGCCCAGTCTCACGTTTACCTAAAAAATGATGGGTCTGGTAAACATCACCAAAAGCACATTTCATCTTAACATTGAGACTCCATAAAGGTTGACACATATTCAAATTCTTTTCATTCAATAATTTGGAAAAAATAATTGTTCATGGGATATTTGTCCTACCTTAATTCCTTGAGAGCAAGTGGACTCACTTTGTTTTGAAGTCTGAAAGGCAGAAGACTTAGCATTTTCTTTATCTCATTCTTGTAATTCTGAACAAGTACATTGACTTTCAGACTTATAAAATTTGCATCTCTTTTTTGCTGTTCTTCTCTTAGACTCCTTTGCCCCATTCAAGTGGCATATGATATAAAGGCTTAAGTCTTGAAAATAGGAGCGTCTCTTACTTCCAAAACATGAAACTGGAGTTCACAGTCACTGTGAGGTCGCTAAGTAGCTGCGTCACCTTGGACAAGTGAATTCACCTCTCTGTTTCTTGCATTTCTTCCTCTGCAAAACAAGGACTGAATGGACAGGTTCCTTCTAATGATAGAATTCAGTGATTTAAATTCATGTAGCAGCTCTGGTTGAAAAAGGGCCATTTGCACAGACTATTCAGCTAGGTTTGAATTTTTTCAGCCACTCCTTTTTTCTGTCTAGAGAGCTTTAAAGAAAATAAGCCACTGTCTGGAAACACACACAGAATAGGTATTGAAAAGATGTCAGCCACATTAGGCTTTAGTTCTTTCATAGAAACCACCCCTCCTGAAGTCACAGCCCCCATATCCTCCAGGAATACCACGCGCACGACAGGATATGCAGCCCCCTTTGCGTCCCACCAACCGTAGCAGCTTTCTGCTGTGCTCTGTTGGGAACCGGCTCTGTACAAATCCCCCTTTGAGAATCTCTTACCAACCAAAGGGCTTTTGTTCTTTCTCTGCTTCTGCAGGTGCTTGAGCATCAGTGCGACCGGAGCTGGCGCTTACAGACATCAGGAGAGCAGATGACTTCCTGGTTGCTAGGAAACTATGGCTGAACGAAAATAATGTCATCCCCCCCGCCCCAACACACATTCTGAAAGCAGGGTCAGGGAGTCAAATATGTGAGACACGATGGTGATCCTGACCCAAAGTTTACGTATCATTTTACCCAAGTGGGTTTAGGTGTCCCGCCTAAATGATTAATTAGAAACCGAGATGACGCTAAGGAGTCTGTATCCTCAAGTTTTTAAAATACCATTTGCCTGCAGACATAGGAATCAACTGACCGAGCAAGGATTGCTAGGGGAGCCAAGTGAACTGTTCTTCTAGACTTAGGAGCCCTGCTTAGGGTGACGCTGCTCTGTGACCATAGACACAGAGCAGTGAATGTTCTGAGGAACCATTTCTGATTCCAAGCCATCAGCAGCTCTCTCTGGTGCGGCTGTCCCCCTCACACACTTGCTTCATTCTCTGACACCCTTGCTCCCTTGCTGAAAGCTTGATGCTCCCCACCCCCAACACTCCTTCAATAAAATTGAAACTCCTCCTTTAAACCACTGGACAGAGGCCAAGTTTGTTTCTCTAGTTGTTCTGTCTGCTACAAACAAGTCTTAATCCACACTTCTGTTCCTCTCCACCAACCGAGTCTCTTGTTTATATAGAGGTGGAAAAATCTCTTTTCCTAACCCGTTGCTAAGCTCGTGGCTGAGTGTCCTCTAACAGTAGATGGACCAGCAAGAGAAAAGCACTCACATTGAGCATAAGTCGTACAGGACATGAGAGCCTTCACAATGAAGTGAAATCTCTAGAAGAAACAGGTAACTTTGTGTATTTTCATGTTTAGTTTTGATGAAGAGTGGACAGCAATGAACTATGAGTCAAAGGGAGTGTGTGTCCTCGTGGAGATAAACTAGAAGAGACTTTATCAGGCCTGTTCATATGCTTCTTTGTGTTTCTGTCCCTTTGATTCCTTTCCTCCAGTGTGGGGACCCAGTCATGGCCCACTGGAGTTTGACATTTGGAAAATTACTTCTTCCTGTACAATTAAGGCATGACACAATCTATGCGACATTTGTTACTTTTCAAGGACACTGTTTGTTAAGCTTGTTGTGTTCTTTGACCCTGTCAAAACAGGAACTCGTTAGCTGAAAATCTGATGTGATCTGTAAGAGTCAGGAAATCCTCTCTTTACATAAGGATAAAAACAATTGCTTGGTGCTTCCTGTTGTTGTGTGCCCTTAAAAGCTTCCTGTTGATGTGAGCCTTTAAAAGGAGCTGTTTCTGTGAAATAAATCAGATTTCTCTTGGTCTCTACCCAGGCTTGAGTGTTCTTTTCTTTCTCAATCCTCACTCTCCAACTCAGGCAGGTTCGTGTTGTGACGGCTGGACCTGGACTGTCACACTCCAGGTAAGGGAAGGTAACTCTCATATGAGGGTCTTAGGATCTCCTTCATGAGAAGGTTAGAAAATCCCTCTAGGATTTATGGCTTGCTTCAGGGGAGTAGGGACAAAGAAAGTGAGAATGATCTTCTTGCTTCTATTACTTTCTCAGATGCTAGAGTAGCAAGTTTGTTTTCTTAGGAAGACTCCGTGTCAGATAAAGTCACATTAAATAAATTTGTATGAACCTTTTATTTACTTTTTGTTAGAGGAGCCTCAACTATGGACCTAGGATTGGTACAGAGAAGACAGTCTCTTCCCTTACAACTAGGTGGTAATATTTTTAGCATTTTCAGGGGGAGAGGGAATGCAAGCACATATAGATGGTATATAGTGAATCAGCATACTTCTAGGAAAAGTATGTTCTTAGCAAATTTCTTTGTCCACTGAGAGACCAGCTATTCTGGGGTTACAAGGTTAAGACTGTGGTAACCCTATGATTTAGGCATGTCTGGGCACAGCTGGGCCCATCTAGACAAGTCTAAAAGATTGAAGATTGTGGGATGATTGAGATTATATTTGCACCAGTGTTTCCTAATGTTGGCTGTACTTAATTAAAAGTCTCCTCAGTGATAGTTTGCTGGGGGTAGCTGTAAGCCTTTCATCTGTATTTTTAAAATTTCTCCTGGTTCTCCAACAGGCAAAGAAGGTTGATGACCTCTAAGGTATATGAAAGATTGAGTGACATCTTAGGTGATCCTCACTTGATCTTAGCCAAAAGGCCGAGAAGTGAATAGGTGGTCCTTTATTATTACCATTACACTAATCTTAAATTATACAGAACACTTTCTCTATTTCTAAAAATCACATGGGTAAGAGATGGACTGCTTCTTTTCTCTGGTCATTTCCATACTAGATATAATGCCCAGCAATGTGATAGCCAACCCATTGCCAGTGTGAGTACAAAGCTACTGTATGGATGAGGATGGAATAAAAGCCCTTCCAGGTATGTGTTTGTATGTTTAAAATATTTTTAAAGTCAGTTCTAGTTGGAGATTGACAGTAACTTTAGCCAAAGATGACTTCAATTATGCATGCCTCTATATCCAGTTTTTAAATTCATGCTAGGATCCTTGGTGGGAAGGGGCTACACTAATAGTGAATAAAAATAGTATACTTTCCCTGTGATTGTTTAGTCAAATCTTTCGAGATGGACTGGTCTCTAAAATAAAGACTTTATTGAACCCAGCCAGAAAAGAAATAGTTGCTAGGACAGTTCCTATGACTTCCAACCACAAGGCTAGGTAACAGGTCGGAGAAATGTCTGAGGGATCTATCAAGAGACTTCTATAATGAAAATGTGGCGAAGAAAAGTTGTTTACATTGGCTATAAATAGGAGAGACAAGACAATGTGAGGCAGGGAATGTTGTAGGATAGAGGGATAGTCCTGAAGGGGAAGTATTATCTGGGTGTGGTGGTGCATGCCTGGGATCCCATCACTTTTGGAGGGTGAGGCAGGAGGATCCCAAGTTCAAGCCCATCCTGGCAATTTAGTGACTCAGCGAGACTCTGTCTCAAAATAAAAATTCAAAAAGGCGTGGGGTGTATCTCACTGTGACCCCTGGCTTCAATCTCCAATATTGAAAAGAAAGAAAAAAAAAAGGAATGGGAAGGGAGTACAGGATTATACATTGGATGGTACGGGTGGGGGGGTCCTGTCTTCTCCTTGGGGTTTTTAAGGTAATGTTTTAACATACAATTAGGAATGTGGATTTTTTGTTTGGCCCACATATTAACTGAATAGCTTCCCTTCCCTTCTTCCCCCCCTTGTAACTAAATTTAGGACGTCACCAATTTTTTTTCTTATGGTTGTGGGTGGAGGATGGTGGCAGTAGTGATACCATAGGCTTTGCCCATGGTGAGGCAGTGTTACCAGCTGTGGCAGTGCAAGATGTCAGTAAACTTAATTTCCAATATCAGCAGTAGGTGTGAGACCAGGGAGAGCTGAGTGATCCTCTCTTGGGTGGGCACCAGCTGCCCTCTTCCCTTAGTACAGAGCCACTCTTTTAAGCTGAGACAGCAACAACAGACAAAACCCAACTTACATAACTAAGATAATTTATGGAAAGGAAGTTTAAAAATCCTACAGACTCCAAGGGCAGGGGCATGGGGACTGGGCTTGAGGAACAAAGCTGAATGTGCAGTATCAACGGAGAATCAGCAAGTTCTTTGCTTTTCTCTGGTCTCTCTCTCTCTCTCTCTCTCTGTCTGTCTCTGTCTCTCTCTGTCTGTGTCTCTGTCTCTCTCTCTCTCTTTCTCTCCTTGGCTTTTCTGTTTCCTAGTCCTGAACATAGAAAATGGTTGCTTGATAGCCCCAAGTTTGCGATGAGACACACACACACACACACACACACACACGTACACATGCAGATGCGCTTCTCCCTCTGTCTCCCTCTCCTTGGCTCTGTTCCCGTCCTGAAGGTCTGGCAGAAGGTACCGAGTGCCCCGAATTTGGTCTGCTGCCGCAGCTATCAAGCGCATCTTGGAAGCAGGGCATCACATTGGGTATGCTGAGGCTTACTGCAACTGCAAAATAAAAATGCAGAGGTCATTTCTGGACAGGGAACCCTGGCTGGGAAATCAGTAAGTAGCCCCAACCCATAAGGAGCTGAGACACCAAAAAAAAGATGATGGTGACTAGTGCTTCGTAACCTGGAGCTCGAATTGCAGATCAGACATGGGACATCTGTTATCAACTTCCAAAGCCACACAGAAGGAATTCAAAGGTTCTGAAAGTTCCTATGAGGCCCACACAGTTAAAACTGAAGAAACAGCACCTTGGACTAATAGTGCCACCTTTCACCCTCTGGCTAGGGTGCCTAGGAAATGAATCAGCAAGAAGCATCTGTCTGGTTCCACGTGCCATCCTTACTCTGTTGTTTAGAAACCATTCCTTTCACCTTTGCCTCTCCGAGATCCTGTGAAGTAGCAGTACAGAGCAACAGACACGGCTGTGTCCAGAGTGCCCACGGTAAGCACATCATACTCTTTTAATGTCCAGCTCTTCAGGTGCTTCGGTGATGCACCAGGAACACTTGACAGGCAGCATATCTTTGGCATTCATACATCCATGTTTTTCTTAATTTGTTCTGAAGCAATTTCAGACTTGGAGAAAGAATTGTAACTATATGACAGAGTTTCCCTTTACACCTCACCCAATTTAATTTCATAAAATCAGGAAATTGATTTTTTGGGACAATATAAGTAACACAACTAAGAATCTTATTTGAATTTTACCAGTTTTTTTTTTTTTCCACAATGACTTTTTCTTTTCCAGGATCCTATTCAAAATTCCACATTGCAGTTAGTCATTTCTCATTAGGGTTCCTTCAATCTCCAACAGTCTCTCTTTTTCCTTTTTTTTTTTTAACTTGGCTCTTTTGAAGGGTGGGCCTCAGTTTGACATTGTCTTATCAAATTTGTAATTTTTGGCAAAAATGTCACAGAAATACTACATCAGACTCAGTGCATCATATTGTGGCATTTGTGGTATTGCTATGTCTTGTCATTGATGGAATTCTCTCTCCACTGTATGGTCACCAGGTGATGACATCATTAAGGTTG